TTCCTCTACTGAAACACAGACTACAGTCACTCTTTCTCCTGGCACAACCAGTGATGTTACTTCCTCTCCTGACACACAGACTACCCTCAGTGCTTCTCCTCACACAACCCTGTACCCCAGTCACACCACTACTCATGTCACATTCAGTACTGTCAGACCAACTACAGAGGAGCCAACTACCCCAGGAAAGCCTGAAGAACATACAACTCCAAATGTCTGTAACAATGGTGGCACATATGTAAACAATATGTGCGTCTGTCATCCGAATTTCGAGGGCAAGTTTTGTGATGTTCTAGCAGGAACTGTTTCTGTCGGTGAGTAAATGATCTTCTGACCTTATAGATGAAAAACCTGTCTGCGCCTTCCTTAATTTTCACTATGAAGAAGGCAGTCAGGTCCCTTATCTGCAAGGCACAAGTGTGAGGAATGATTTGAATTTGCCCCTAAAATGCAAAAGTTAATGTATCATGTGTTACAACTTTATTTTATTTAATATTGTTAGGTATTTCAGCTCCCTCCTCTTTGATCCCCCAGTTTTGCTAACTTGGAAAATGTATCAACAAGTCTACAGAGCTACTTGGCAGACAGCTTTCTACCATAAGCAACTAGTGGCAATCATTTAATTTTTATGATTGTACAATTATCAAAAGATTTCAGATGCAATGCAAGTTACAATGTCACATCATGTAATGCAACCAGTGCACTTTGTAGTTCTTTTCACCATTAAGCCCTCTGTCCTTGATGCTATTATCACTAATGTCTAAACTTGATCACAACAATTATTTCTAGTGTACTATGCAGCATTGGACATCTGCTGAGAGAGACTCACAGATCTGGAAAATATATTTCGGGACCCTCTTTAGGTTTTGATGCACTGTACAAGCACTGTACAAGAGTGGCATAGGTCAAACTCTCCACATGGCCATATTGCTACAATCTGACAAGTTTCACCTACATGTTTTAGACAATAACATTAAGAAAGCTTTTAAAAACACAACAGCACCGATTTCCAAAGCCAGATGAACATAAAACTATCACATGAGTAAAAGCAGATCTGAGTCAACGTTCCCTTTATTTCAGTTTCCCACACTACGATAACCTGTATTTATATGACACCTTTTTTCTAACATAGTCCATGCTGGAAAATACCTGCTGTTTTAACACTTTTCCTATTGTAAATGCTGGTTGATTTTACAGCTTTGGTCTAAAATTAAGAATCTGGTGTCCTGAACTGTATGTAGAGCTGTTCCTAACTGTGGAATATTAGTCCTGTTTAGCTGTGTGGTACAGTATGAAAACCAATTAAGCAAACTTCTTTCCACACATTTGTTACAGATACCTATGAAAGGACAGCAAACGTGACAGTGAAGATAGACCAAAACTACACACAGGAACTGAGCAACCCATCGTCATTAGAATACAGTACATTTGTAAACAACTTCACGAAGCAGGTGAGGAACCAAATGACGGGGCTGGGATCTCTGAATGTCAACAAAGCTGGAGGGAATTTAGATTTCATATTCACATGTGAATAACAGGTGTGAATGAAGACCAAACTGTGTTTTGTTTTTTTGCCAAAAGGCCCGATCAGTTATGATGGACCTAACCCTCAAGAGTGAAGATAGATTTCTCTCTGGTTCATGCCATTGATAAACTCTTTCTTATCTCCTGCAGATGGACAACGTTTACAAGAATATTAGGACTTACAAAGGGGTGGAGATTCTGAAAATCAGGTACTGTGTCCTCGTGCTCTGCTATCTTAGAGAAAAAGCCCCATAGCTTCCAGAACACAAGAAGGGATCCAGTGGGTACGAAACTACTTAAGTGTGAGATGTAAAGTGAAGCAACGGGGTTTGTGTTCAGGTTTGTGTGTGCAGATTTGCTGTAATCGCAGACTGTGATGAGTTCTGTCACCCGGACGTTTCCTCTTCCTTCACTCCAAGTTTTCTGAATATCCTGTCGGGGGAAGGAAATACACTGCAATCCTGAAACAACACAAGATATTTGAAAGGAATGCACCCTTTACATTTGAGGCTTTATATCTTGGCAAACTGGATTTTGATTGGAGAGGAACTGACGAATATTGGTTTGGAATCCTTATATCAGCAGGGAAGAAAGCTGTAACAAGAAAGTGGCTTCTCCCAGATTTCCCAACCATTAATGATCCGATTGAATTAATAAAGGAAATATATATCATGGAAAAAATTGCATTTTCACTAAAATTACAAATGAAACAAATGGTCAAATATTGGTCTAGATGGGTTCAGTACATGAAACCTTTAAGGTTGGATTTTGTTGAGATACAAAAAAACTGATCTCCTCCCATTTCATATTCATAAATGTATGTATCGGCCTTCTTTTGAATGTATACTGTATATGAATGTAGTTCGTAACTGAATGTAGTTTTGTTTAAAAGTTATATAATTGTAAAATACTAGGGGAACAAACAGGAATAGACCATTTTTGCCTGTGATGTAAGGCTGAATAACGGTGGGTTATATGTAAAATGGTATTGTTTTGTTCTCTAAAATAAAAATATAAAAAAAACAACAACACGAGATGCAGGTAGAACTGGAACCTCATGACGCCATTACATTCATGATCACCTTCTTCTGTTCACGCACACAGCAAGGGCAGCATTGTTGTGGACTACGAAGTCATCCTAGAGATAAAGAACGGAAACGATGCAGACGAGGTGTACCAGGAAGCGCTCGCTGAAGTGGAAACGGCTCTGGAAAAGGCGAAGAATTGCACAGGTAACATACAGCACCAGTAGCAGGTAGCAACTCTACATAAACTATACAAGTCTCTGGTGTATAATCACATCCACCACAATTCTGTACTGATGCTGTTGTTACTGTACTTAAACGAGGGGTCAGGACTGTAATGTACCTGATGATATTACTGTGGTTATTGTTCCTACACTAGGGAATATTAAAGCACCACACAGACACTAATTTACCTGATAATCTCCTGCTAATTTTTCTGTTTTTCACTTAGTGCTAGGTTGTGCGATACAACATCACTGTGATTCTGTATTTCCATTTCAGGACAAGTTAACTGCCTTACTTTTACTATCAAGAATTATACAGTCAGCAACAGCACGTTGAACGAAAATGGTGAGTATGTTGGGAGACAGAGAAGGAGACAGTAAAGGTGTCCGGTAGAGATGAGGAACTGGGAGAGAGGGAAAGGCTGTGTATGCTAGTGGTCAGAACTGGGAGACTGAAAGACAGAAAGGGAGGGAGTCTGAGTGAAGCACCTACAGCTGTGAATATGTGGTATTTAACCCCAGTGTGTTCCCTCCACAGCTGTGTGTGCCAAGGTGATCCCAGAGGGTTTCAACACCTACTACACCGCTTACACAATAGATTCGAAAATAGTCTGCATTTCCCAGTGTGACTCCAGACACAACGAGAGAAAATCCTGCAACCTGGGCACTTGTCAGGTCACCAGAGCCGGACCCACCTGCTTGTAAGCCCTTGCTTCTTCTCAGCCACCGCTGCTGGCATTATAAGCAAAATTTGTATTGCTATCAGGGAAGCCGACCAGACTGGGGAGAATACAGTATTAGTCAGGAATGACCTGTGCTCATCCGTCTCCAGCTCTGGAGTCTGAACACAGGGCAGCTAAAGGCTTTACTGATCATCTCCAGCTACGCAGTCATGAATTATACAGACACGTCCCAGCTCTTCGTTAAACCCATGGGACACCAGGGCGGGTGGTGCAGATGGATGGGATGGATGGGACAGATATCACCTCTCGATCAGCATATATTTCTTGGAATTCTTTGGAATGATTTCCCCTTGAATAGAAACGAAGAGTTTTTTACTCATCAGGTTTTGCGCGTCCTTTCCTCACCTGCCACTCACCCCTCTCTCCGCAGCTGTTTGCACACGAGCTCAGAGTGGTACATGGGCAGTGACTGTAGCCTTCCTGTCAGCAAGGCTGGATTCTACGCGGGAGTGGGCATCCTGGCTGTGGTCATAGTGGTCACTGTCATCACCTTGTCCACATTCCTCGTCCTGGGCAAGAAGAAAGAAATCAGGTTTGACAATATAACAGCTTCTTTTTTTCAGCAGAGTCTTGACATCTCTGCTAAGTGAGAGATAGACAGGTGAGGTGAGCCTAGCACCAGGGAAGCCTTGTTACAGAATGCAGAAATGAGACGAGAGGAAGCTGGCCTTGACTCATCCCTCTTGCCACCTCTCAGGAACCAGGACAGGAAGAACAGTATGGTGAACCAGTGGCTGGATGATGACTTTGAGTGGCCGCCGCTTAACAGGACAGACAAACCAGCAGGTACTGCCCCCATGTTCTCCCTTGCCTCCTCAGCCAAGCACGGGCGCCAAATGTCTAAACCTGCGTTTCCACTCATACGGAGCAAGATCACAGTTACTACTGTATACCTTGTTCTCAGGTGACCTTTTCTTCCGTCTCTTTGGCTCTCATTCTCCCTTCTGTTCTTTCTCTTTACTTCTTATTGTTGTACTCCTCCCTCATCCTTTTTTTAGGGTTTTCTCTTCTCTTGTACTTTCTGTTTTCTTTTCAGGTGTCTTCCTCTGACTCTCTTGCCTCTCTGTGTTTCGTCCGCTGCCTGTCTGTTTGTTCTGGCAGATGTGATTGAGCTTTTCACTGGCACTAGGAACGTAAGACAAGCTGATGATTCTTCTTGTTGGATGCTCACCTGCTCACTCTCTGGGTTCCAGCTGAAAGCTACAGTGCACTGTACGGAAAGTCCCAGGACCTGCCCTACAATGCCCAGAGTTCCACAATCTTCAGAAACCCCAGTTCTTACTTTGCGGATTCTAGCGTACCAAGATACCCCTGCCCACCCTACAGCAGAGAGGAAAGACGCCCTATGCAACAGAACATCCAGCTCAACAACCTCAGTCCCCCCGTCTCGGTGAGCGATCTTTATCATTGCGGCACAAAAGGAAAGACCACATTTCCCAATTCACTTTTTTTTCCAGAGTCACTGTTTTCAGTGACAAGCTTGCAGCCCCATACTTCACCATCAGAGGTATTAAATAAATATTGCAGTTGGAGGACAAGTACATAGACAACACAGATTGATCTGGAGAATGTAGATACAGTAAAAACATATGATACATACTGTAACTACATAAGAAGATCGATAATGCAGCCACAAGTTTGAAACATTATTCATTCCCAACTCCATCAAGCATAATAAAACATTTCGGAGACCATCAAAAGCAGCAGAAAAAAAAAATATGATTAGGTTCTATTTCAACTACTCCAGCCATTCATATTCAACTGTTCTGAACGGTTATTTTTACACCACAATGCACATTTTGGAATAATATAATGAGAATATTCTAAATTGGTAACCCTAGCTCATTCTTTTAAAATAACTGCTGTTTGAAATGTTACAGAAGCCACTGGGGCAAGATGCCAGTGGTGCAGAGTGGAGGTGAACTTAAGTATTGGGGATGCTGTTTTGCTAATCCCCTGTCTTTCTTTGCAGGTGAGAATCGGTTGGCCCCACATCCGGACCTCTTTCGAGAGCTAGTCGTTTCTCCCCCTTTCCCCTGTGAGGCTCCCTGTCTGAGCTGAGGGACACAGGCTGCACACACATCTAGCACAAGACCGGGAAGAACATGCATACTAACCCCCAATGAACCCATGGTACTCATGGTTGGCCAACGTGGCAGTTCAGCTCTGGCAGCTCTGCAACACAGGACAGTGAATAATGAAGGTTACTGTCCTTGGCAAAGGGTGTACGAGACCGTACTTTACTGCACCAGACTGCGCTACCCCTCAGGCCTCACTTTAAGAGTGCATTTAAAAGAATCTCTCCAATGTATTTATACGCTTTACAATAGAACATTGATGCTAAGATATATAACCTGTAATAATTTATGTATTTACGATGTGCAATAAACAATTTTTTTCAAGCTGCTATGTTTGTTTTCTGTTCACTTTCTGTTCACTTTTCCTGGTGAGGGGGGTTGCAATGTGCCGTTTTTACTTTCCTGACATGTGGATTTATATCCCGGCAGGTTGTATGAGGTAACAAGATTATTACTATTACAACTGCAGCAGCACAGGTGCGTATAAAGATGTTTTGGTACTTGCAGAAGACTAAGTGTAGTACAGTGTGTGAGTATGAAATCTACTACTCAGTACAGTGAATGAGTACCTGTTAGGGGAATTCTGACTAGGATTACTAGTGTAACTAGTGTTCACGTTTATCGCCATTATACTCATATACAGGTATATGGTATAACGAAATACTATTTAGCTAGCTCTCAGACGATAAGCAGTACAAAAAAACAACAATACAATTGTATAAGAAAAGAAAGACAGAGACAACAGGCAGTGTGCAAAAACAACAACAGGCAATGTGCAAAACAACAAGAGGTAACAGGTAATGTGCAAAAACAACATCAGATGTGCAATATCATACATAAACAGAATGAAATAAAGAACAGAAAATTATTGGGAGTGAACCTTTTGACATGTGAGGTAGAGGTAGATTTCAATGTGTGTT